AAGCCAGTCATCTCAACCCTCTCCCCCCAAGCCAGACTGGCCAAGCGGGAGTTACGATCCCAAAGAGAGGAACCAGGGAAAGACTGACCATTGGGGGCTGTGGTTTTATGAGGAGGTGCCCGTATTGATGGGGAAGAAGACTAGCCAGTCAGAAATTCAAATCCCATGAGACAGTCTCAAGCTACGCACTCGACCACCTCCCCATCCACTGTTACGGTGCAGACCTGTGCCAGCACACTTCTCCCCCAGTAGTGAACTCTTCCTGCACCCCTGCCACGCAGCAACCCCCCAGCAGCCCGCTCTCCCTGCAACCCACCACGCAGCAACCCCCCAGTATCCCGCACTTCCTGCAACCCACCACGCAACCCCCCAGCAGCCCGCACTTCCTGCAACCCACCACGCAACCCCCCAGCAGCCCGCTCTCCCTGCAACCCACCACGCAGCAACCCCCCAGTATCCCGCACTTCCTGCAACCCACCACGCAACCCCCCAGCAGCCCGCACTTCCTGCAACCCACCACACAACCCCCCACCACCCCACCCTCCTGGAGCAGGCCTCAGCAACCTACGGCTTACTAGGCTGCGTTTTGGTTTTTTTTTTTGCCCATCTCACTGGGTGGTCCTCAACTGATTTTTTTCTCTGTAGGTCAGTAATCCCCTCCCCCCCAAAAAAGACTCCCCACCTCTACCATAAATAAAGACAATGTTGAAACCTTGTGTAGGACATATTTTAGTTCATCCAAAAACAAAGCCTGGCCAACACGCCCCCTCCCTCCTCTGGCCACAGCATCATAAGACAGCTTAAATACCTGCCTGAATCTAGATTTGACCAGTTATGATGTAAACTTCAAAGAAATGTGCAAAAAGATGAAGCAGCAGGAGTCCCATAAAGTCTGCCGAGTGCCATGTTTCATTTATGCTATTACTGATGATTGACATGATCATTAATATTAAATTGTATATTTTCACTCATGCAAATGGGCATTCTTTGTTGACCATTTGTTCTGAATTTTTATGTAGTTTGGTTCTTTTAGTTGAAAAGGTTTCCAACCCCTGTTCTACTGCCACTGTACTCCTCTCTTATCCACATTTTCCCTTTTACTGAAAGGAAGTTGACGTTCTCCTCAACAAATTATATTCATCTAGGTGTCTGACAATTCTATTCTTTACTATAGTTTCAACTAATTAGCTTTGGCAGGAATTATAGTCAGTGCCTATAGTGCTCTATCATATTCTCTCACCCGAGTCTCCTCTAATTTTAAGATTGAAAAGTACCAGTCTTTTCATATGACACCAATTCCAAGCCCTTCTTCTCTCCCTCCCTGCCCCACAGCAAGCCCCAGCAGTGTGCTCTCCCCACACCCCCACCCCGCAGTGAGCTCCCACTATCATGCTCTCACCATGCCCCAAACCTGTAGCAAGCCCCAGACAGCGCGCTTGGCCTGTACCCCCATCCCCCAGCGGCACACTCTCTCAGCATCCCAACTTGTAGCAACCCCCAAAAGCAAACTCTCCCTGCACTCCTACCCCACAGGAAGCCTCCAGCTGTGCACGCTCTCTACACCTCCACCCCACAGAAAGCCTCCACCGGCACCCTCCATGCACCCCTATTCTGCAGGAAGTCCCAGCAGTGTGCTCTCATCACACCCCCTCCATGCCCAGTTTGCAGCAAGCCCCCAGTGGTTCCCTCCCCACCACCCACATCCCCCAGTGGGGTCCTTCTTGCACCACCACCGGAAGCAAGCCTTCAGCAGCTCATTGTCTCTGCACTCCCGCCCTGCAACAAGCCCCTATCAGCATGCTATCCCCATACCTCCACCCTGCAGTGAGCCCACAGCATCACACTCCCTGCATCCCCAACCTGCAGCAAGCCAACAGCAGCATGCTCTGACTGCATCCCCACCTCATAGCAAGCCCCCAGCGGTGCTCTCCCTGCATCCACCGAGCAGCAAACCCCCAGTGGCATTCTCCCTGCATCCCCACCAAGCAGTGAACCCCCAGCGGCACACTCTCCCTGCACCCCTAACCCACAGCAAGCCTCCAGTGGCACTCCCCCTCCACCACCACCCCCTTGTGAGCTGCCATCTATGTACTCTGCCTGCACCTCCATGCCACAGCAAGCCCCAGCAGTGCACTTTCCCTGCACCCTCACCCCACAGCAAGCCTCTATGGGTGCACTCTCCGTGCACCCCTACTCCGTAGCGAGCCCCCAGTATGGCGCTCTCCCTGCATGCACACCCCACAGTGAGCCCCCAGCAGTGCACTCTCCCTGGACCCTCACCATGCAACAATTCCCTAGCAGCACCCTCCCCAGACCCCCACTCTGCAGCAAGCCCCCAGCAGCACATACTAACTGCACCCCTACTGCTCAGCAGCAAGCTATAGTGGCACGCTCTCCCTACATTCTTACTCTGCAGCAAACCTCCAACAGCGCAGTCTGTCCAACCCCAGTCCCCAGCAGCATGCTCTCGCCCATCCCCCAGCCCAGAGCAGGCTGGTGGTCATACACTCTCTCCTCTGCGCGGCACTGACCGGGCCAGGCCTGCAGCAGGTAGTGCAGCACCTCGATGTGTCTCTTGAAGTCAACAGCGCTGGCAATCTCCTCACATCGGGCATAGCCGCAGGATCCCTGGTGCCCTGGCTCCTGATTCTGGTTGAGCAGCACTGGCCCGAAGCACACAGCAATGTTCTGGGAGTTCATGCGGTTAAAGTCATGAAAAGAGGCTACCAAGCTGAGATGGTCCAGCAGCACAGTCAGCGTAGCCTAGAGAGAGGGAAGTGTCAGTCCAGGGCCTGGCCCTGCAACACCCACCCAGTTTTGGGGGCTCAAGATCATCCCAAATGGCCCAAGTTGGTACCTCAGAGGTCACAGCCCTAGTCTGTGCCCAACTGTCAGGATTCTTGGAGGGAAAACAGAGGAAACTCAGAGGAGTGAGGAAAGTAGAGGAAGGACTGGACTCTGAAGCCCAGGTGACTTGAAAATTGCCCTGTCTGCAAGACAAAGCCAACACGCTTCGCTTTGGGGAGAGCATTTGACTTCACATTATAAAAGTCAGCATTAAACACTGTCAACAGAGCCCCTGTTACATGGGTTAGAGCTCAAACAGTCATAATCAATCTTTGAAGGGGGACAGGGCTTCCAGTGGAAATCTACAGGGAATGGTTCAAGGCCTGATGCTATTTCAGGATTTTTATGAATGATTTGGAAGTAAAATATAGATTCATGGATTCTCAGGCCAGAAGGGACCACTGTGATCATATGGTCTGACCTCCTGTCTTACAATCGTAGAAGATGAGGACTAGAAGAAACCTCAGGAGGTCACCTAGTACAACTCCCTGCCACAACTAAATCATCCCAGCCAAGGCTGACTGGCACAGGCTTCAGGACTGGCCCGAACTGATTCCTATTTCAACCACAGCATAGGACTATCCTGTCTTGATTTTAAAATCACCAGTGATGGAGAATCTACCATGACTCCTGGTAAATTGTTTCAATGATTAATTAACCTCCAAAATAAAATGTGCAGATGACCCAAGAACCGGAGCTGAAAATGATGTAAGGTGCACGCCTGTGTGGGCATGCACCAAGAATTTCAGTCCAGCCCACCTTCTCAGCAGACCCAGCAGCCACGGCCCCAGCCCGCATGACAACTGCCAGAGTTGGAGCCTGGGCCGCAGTACTAAAAATAGCACCACAGCCCCAGGTTCAGTCCCGGCACATGGGGCAGACACCTGACATGCAGTCCCACCACCGGGAGCAGCTGGGGCCGTGGCTGTGTGGTAGCTGCTGGGGCTGGAACTGTGGTACTAAAAATAGCACCGCAGTCCAGGCTCGAGTCCCAAAGATTCTCTCCACCTCTCCTGCAAAGCCTCCGGCTTCACCTTCAGCAGCTTCGAGATGGACTGGGTCCAACAGGCCCCGAGGAGGGGCTGGAGTGGGTCGCTCATATCACCAGTAGCGGGGGTACTGCATGCAACCTTGATGCTGTGAAAAGCCAATTCACCATCTCCAGGGATAACTCCAACAGCCTGCTGTACCTGCAAATAACCAGCTTGCAGCCCAAGGACACCACCCACTATTACTGTGTCAGATACACAGTGACACAAAACTTATTGATGCTCATATAAAAACTCAGTTTGCAGAATCTGCAGCCACCACATGGGGGCATGAGTTAAGCAAACAACCAGATATTGGGCTCAAAAAGGAAAGGGAGCCTCCAGGCAAATAAAATACAATCTGCCCTGGGACTTTAACCATTTCATTCCCTAGTAAGGTCCTCTGTTTGCTGCTAAAGTCCCCTGGAGCCCCTGGAGCAGACACCCACCAAAAGGAAAGGAAAAGAGAAAAGAAACAGAAGAGGAGGCGGAGTGAGGGGGGATGGACAGGTCTGGGATCAGTTCTCCCTCTAAGCTGAGTGGCAGCCCAGCTTCACAAATGATTAATTCACAGGCTCGGAGCTCTGACCTGGCGGGGCTGATTAATCACTTGTGAAGCTGTGCTGCCATTCAGCTTAGAGGGAGAACTGTCTGGGATAGGGATGTTAAAATGTGGATAATTGACTAGTCGAGTAGTCGATGGAATTTCCATTGACGACTAGTTGAGTAGTCGATGGAATTTCCATCGACTACTCGATAGGCACTTCTGCATTCTTCCTTGGGGCTCTTGTCCATTTCAAAGGAGGAATGCGGAACTCCACGTACAGCCCGGGGCCAGCGGGAAGTCCCACTGACTCCGGGTTGCACACGGGTGCCTGCTTTGAAATGTACAAGAGTCCCCTGCAGAGGCTCTTCTGCATTTCAAAGCCATGAAGCCTGGAGTCAGCAGGGGACTCAGAGTGTCATTTCAGCGGTGCCCAGGGTCAGCTGGGGACTCTCAGGCTGACCCTGGGTTCTGGGGAAATGCCGTGTGGAGCCCGGGATCAGCTGGGGAGTCCCCAGCTGACCCCAGGCTCCATGGCTGCCCCTTTGAAACATGGAGGCAGCATTTCAAAGCGGCAACCACACAACTGATCCCCGGCTCAGCTGTGCGGTGCTGCCACTTTGAAGTACCCCTTCCCCCCCTTTGCTGCCTCTATCTCATAGAGGTAGCAAAGGGGGAGGAATCGATTAGTCTAGTAGTCGACAGACTATCTGATCAGCAAATGCTTATCGGATAGTCGACTAGTCAACTAGTCCTTAACACCCTTAGTCTGGGACGCACTGTGCTGGAGACAACACACTGTTGTGTGCAATGTTTCACTCAGGGTGCCCTGTTTAAATAGCACCTCATGGGGATCCAGAGAACAGATCTACTAGCAGTTGAACTATTCACTTCTGTTTCGGGTTTAAACATGAATGATGAATCCCTACCCTTTCCTCCATGGCTTGTCTTTGCCCCCAGCCAGTGAGTATTTGGGGGATGGGAGTTAAGGGCCCTAGCCTGGTTCTCTGATCCATCGCAGCCTCCCTGTGTGACCACTGACAAGTCCCGCAGAGTCAGATTTTTAGAGGTGTATAGCCACCTAGAGACGCAGATAGGTGCTTGGTGGGATTTCCAGAAGTGTTCAGGTGTCTAACTCCCAGTGACTTCCATGTGAGCTGCACTTTACTTTCGTGCCCCTCACTCGGCATCTGTCTGTTATTTTCAGGTGCCTGAAAACAATCTGGCCCTGACAGATTTCACAAACAGAATTACTTTATTTCCATTGACTTGTAGTGGGAGTTAGTGGCCTCTTTCACTCAGGCTCTTTGGCAAATCCCATTAGCTACCGTTCGTGAGCTGGGACTCAAGCCGGAGCCACAGAGGTATTTTTAGTACCACAGTCCCGGCCCCAGCAGCCACCATGGAACTGCATCGTGGAAACCGGGTACTCTGAAAAGGAACAGGGAAGAAACATCACCACATGAGCTGCCAGGATGGTAAGGCCAAAAGGGCAAATGGTACCCTTGGATGTGTACAGGGAGCGGGTGGGCAATTTTTCCTCTGACCACCACACTGCAGAGACCAAGCTGGCATATGGCATCAAGTCTGGTCTACAGATTTAAAAGGATGTGGGAAAATTGGGGAGGTGCAGGAAAGCGCCACAGAAATGATGTGTGGGCTGAAGAAGGTGGCAGGCAGGCAGCAAGATACCTGAAGAGTTAATCACAGAGAAGATCGAGTGGTGACTCACACCAACAGCCCGCAGGTATGTGGCAGGGACAGAGTTGAACAGTCTCTCACCTAAGAGATGGGGGATGCAGCAGTCTATGGTGACACTGCAGTATTACCACACAGCCCCCCACAAGACTGCTCCAAGAGTACCGTGTCTTGGCTCCTCAGCCAGGTGTCCTCTTCTACCTGCCCACAGTTTCCATCTCCGCCCACTGGCAGGCACTCACCTTCTCGATGTCCGGCAGGCAGTCCAGCAGAGCGACCGTCTCCTCTGCATCCTGCCTGCTGAGTATGTCTTGAGCCGGGCGCTGGCCCATGGCCTCTAACACCACCTGGTACAGGGTTTTGGTGATGAGAGGTGTGGGCAGCTCCCGCAAATAGTCCTTCAGGATTCCTGCAGAAAAAAGGCCACATTCCAGTCGGCTCTTTTTTCGGTGCCAGAGGGTACAGGACCCATAGAATAGATGTAACTTCTGCTGTATAACCTTCTGCAGTAGGTTCTCTTTTGGCTGTATCTTCCTATATAATTCCTCGTTGGTAACCTTTCACATCCATCAGAATCTTTCTATAACAACTCCTCTCGAACGTCAATATCCTTCTCTTTGAATCTTTCGTTATCACCCATGTCTCACATCCGTACAACATGCTGCTAAATACACACGTTTTCAAGATGCTCAGCTTCGTTCCTAAGCTAATTGCTTTACTTTTCCAGATCTTATCCATCGCCTTCAAACTTGCTCTTGCTTTCGCTATTCTAGTCGCTATTTCCTTACAGTCTAGATCATACATCATGTTACTCCCTAAATATGTGAACTTCTCTACGTTCTCTAGTTCGGGGTTTTACTGTGCTCTGGGAGAGGAACAGGATCTAGAGAGTTAGAAGGGACCCCTCCAAGCCCCTAGCTGGGATGGGTTCTGCGCTCAGTTCTGAGAACGGAGTGGGGGGTCTAGTGGCCAGGTATTGCAGTGACTTGCCTAAGGGGGCGCAGGGGGGGCCAGTGGCAATCCTGGAGCTGGGCTGGTGCTGCATGGGGCTAAACAGTGGCTGGGCACTGACCTGTGATGACATTGATGTCTGGATACAGCTGTTCAGAGAGCATCACGGCTGCACTGTCCCGCTCAAAGGCATCACGCAGCTCCTTCTTCACAGCCGCCGAGCCACACAGCCGGTAAAGCCCTACAATCTGGGCATAGCGGGTGTTGTCAAGCAGGAAAACCCAGCCCTCCCCACCTGCTGCAGGACCCAAAGAGCAGCATGGGGAGGGGACAGGATACATAGAGGGAAGAGAGCATAGAGCCTATACCTAGCTGGGATCCTGTCTACTCAGGAGCCATGCTCACTGGCTCCTCACCATGTACCTCCTGTGCTTGTGTTAGCTGCATGGCATGGAGCCGAAGTGCCAGGTGCTCTGTAGAGACCACTCCCTCACTACTCACCTTTAGTCCCCGCTTCTCAATCTGGGAGACGCATTTCTGTATCAGCAGCGGCACCTTGATGGCAGTGTTCTCTCTTTCCACCAAGTGACGCAGATCCATGCCAAAGACTCGGGGCTCCCGCTCACTAGGGCTGCTGGGTACGTCCCACTGCTCCACCAAAGTCAACTTGCAGTAGAGCAGCCCGCGTGGCTCCAGCCGCACTGCCAGCTGCTGGGCCCGGCACCCTGAAGAGTAGAGGGCACCAGCACGGGTTAGACCAGAGCAAGGACCAGCTGAGAAACTACAGCATCTGCCCCCCTTAAGTTCTGTCCCATGACCCCACACAGGCCTGCCCATCTGAGCACCATGAGACCCCCACCTCCTGCCCATTTATATGTACCCCAGAGACCTGCCCAGCTGAACCCCACATGGCTCTGCGCCCTGCCTATCTATAAATGCTCCCCAGAGCCCTGTACATATAAGTTACACTGGGCCCTGCCCCCTGCTTGGGTGTCACTGCCCTCTCTCAGGCCCTCACTCCATAACTATGGCTCCCACCTCACTGGCTGCTCCTGTTACCTTGGAAGACATGGGGCAAGACAATGGTGCCGTGGCAGCACACACGGTTCCGGCAGGAAGTTGGGTCCCAGGAGAAGACAATGACCTTGAGCTGTCGGGCACCATCCAGTTCCAAGTTGAAGGTGTGGTTGAGGCTGAGGAAGGCAGCAGTCCAGGGCAGCAGGGCCGTGCGTGCCTTGGGGACTGTGTCTACCTGCAGAACGCAGAACACCTCCCTGGATTCAGCCTTTGGAAGCTTAAGCTCCCCTGCACCGTACAAGTGGACACTAACTAGACCCGAAATAGGCTGCGCAAAGCGTGGCTGTGCCAAGGAGCTATAGGGCTGAAAGGCCCCCATGTCCAGTCTGACCCCAGGCTCATGCCTCTCTGGCCCAGGACAGCCATGCTTCTCCGCCTTGACCAGAAGCTCAGGGGAGTCGCCATCACTCAGATAGCCATCCTTGTTGGCTGCCTTGGCACGGAGTGGGCCCTGCTGGGATGCCACGCTGCTGTCCAGGTGGTAGCGGCTGATGACATTACATGACTCCTTGTGGGCATCCTGGGGTGAGGGGCTGCCACTGCCCTCCGGCTCCTGCCCCCGGGGCCGGCCACTACGCAGGCTTAGCTTCCTCCTCAGCTCGGGCAGTTTCTTCATCTTCAGGGAAAGGCGGCGCACAGTGCCCGGGGACTTCACTCTGCCCAGGGAGCGCCCCTTCTTGGAGATGTTAGGGCTCAGCAGGGGGGATGAGCCAGCCAACCCCACAGCCACACTCACACATGAAATCGGCAATTTCCCTGGGGGGGGGGAGAGACCTGATGAGATGGGTATTCCAGCCCCAGTGGACACTGGCATGCATGGGGAAAGGGAGCCCTTTCGTCTGGGGCATGGAAGGGAAGGGCCATTACAGAGAGCAGGGCCTGTAGGACCCAGAGCAGCCAAGACTGACTTTCTGGGGATGGAGAGAGGAGCTGATCCCACAGTGGGAATCAGACTGCATTGAAGATCGGGATGCAGGGGTAATGACCTGGAGAGGGGCTCTATGGGAAGAGGGGGACCCTACAGGATTGGATGCCCCATAGGATCAGGGAGGCCCCATGGGAGAGGATGGGCCCATGAGATCAAGGTGGGGACACACGGAAGCATCTGTATCTCATGTTTCTGCTATGCTGTTCACCCCACTCACACCCGGTTAGCACCGCGCTCCTCACCACAGGCCTGTGTCCTGCTGGCACCCTGGTCTTTGCCTTGGCTCACTGGCCCTGCTGGGGTAGGTGAATTCTGCAAGCTGAGGTGCTCCACTTGCCCAGCGACACTCCTGGGGGACCCTTCACCACCTGGCTCTGCCCCGCCAGGCCTGGCCCTGTCCCTGTCAGATTCCTGGCTCCCTGAGCCACTGCCTTGCTTCCTCCAGGAGCTGCCAGGCTCTGCACCATGCCTGATGCCCACAACATCCTCATCTTCAGGGATGGGGTTGTACCAGATCTCCCCTTCGCTGCCCGCCTCCTTCAGCTCTGTGCTGGCACTGGGAGCCAGCTCCTCCGAGCCCTGGGCCTTGCCCGAAGACAGGACCCAGTGACGGCTGCTCTTGTCCAGGCTCTGCAGGTAGGCACCATGACTGGAACACCTCACAGCACTGCCAGAGGTACAGAGCTCCACATAGCTGCACATCGACTCAGCCTCCTCGTCACCAGGAGTCTGGCTGGGCTGAGGAGATGGGGTCGCCAGGGCCAGGCCAGACCAAAGGCTAGGAAGCACTGGGGCTGAGGGGCTCTCCACAACACATGTCTCATCCTCAATAGCTGGCCCCGTGTGGGTGGGGGAGAACAGCTTCTGAGGGCACTGGGGGTTGCCATCAGTCTCTTGCGCACAGACAACTGGCCCTTCCCCTTCACCCTCATCCTGCAGCTCTGCAGAGGCCATGGCACTGGAAGGCACCTTCCGGCTGCAGGAATTACGTGGTGTCTCCCGGATGCCACATGAGAATCTGACCCAGCTCTGCTTCCTGGATACGGTGATGGCTGCCACTCTCTGACAACTCCTGTCAGGGTCCTGAGACGCTGACTTTGGCTGAGGGATGGGCTCCAGCTCCCCACGGGAATCCAGCATCCTGAAGGGGTGCTCTGTGGGGAACAGGAAATGTGAACTGAGAGTTAATATCAGCACATGCCCAGCGCAGACACAGCATACCTAGCGCATAAATCAGGTACACACCCAGCATGTACATACACAGTACCCAAGGCATGTATGCACTCAGTTCATACACACGCCATACTCAGTGGTTACACATCTATCAAAGTCCTCACCCAGCACACACAATCCAACATGTATTTAAAGCACACCTACTATATACACACCATTCCCAGGGCGTACTGTGACCCACAAACCTCTGAATGCCAAATGACAAGGGGTGCAGAGAGGTCACTGAAACTTCCTGCTTCTGTCATGGGAAGGCTCAAATAAAAACATTTCACAATTATAATATTGATAACTAGCACATTTAGGGCTCATGGCAGGGGACCTACGGTGTAGGGGGTGCAGGAGTCAGGGTTGGAGGTGAGGAGGGGTTCTGGTTAGGGAACCCTGAGTGTGTTGCGGGCAGTGAGGGAAGACGGAGAGGTGGGCAGGTGGTCCAAGGCCCCCTACCCTGCAATTTGTATCAGGGTTGCTTACTCTTCCCCTTTCTGTCCCTGTCAGGGAGCAAGAACAAAGTGTACAGCTCACCTGTCCCCTTCAGTCCCCAGCCAGAGTGAGGACTGCAGTAAACTGTGCATTTCCCCCCTCACTCCCTAATGAAGGGGAACGGTCAGCAGTGTCTCCATACAAATCTGGGGAGGAGCTTCAGCTTTCTCCACCTTCCCCATCCCCACCCCCGCCCCCGCCTCCCTAAAGGGCACCATGTGGGTAGGAGGCTCAGGAAAAAGGCACACCCCCAGCCAACCCCTTTCACCTGTCTGGTGATTCTGTCTCTTTTCTGTGTGGTTTTATGAAAAGCAATCCCATTCCAGGGACATCCCATTTTCCTGGTATATCCAAATCCTTACCTATTTTTAAGTTATGATAAGGGAAAACTGCATAACAAATTTGGTGGTCCTAGCTCATACTTTTAGGAGTTCTTGAATAAACACAAACAAACAGACAAACAAACTCTTTCAAATTTAGAGGAGATAAAATACAACAATATCACTGTGAAGATTTATGTGGATATACTGAAAAATTACTGAGGACTGTCTAGAATCTTGGCACCAGCAAAGGTGAAGAAAAGGTTTCTCTCCAACAAAAAATGTTTCTCTGTCCAACTGTTTGCACATAAATTATTGCACACATGTTTCACAATGGGTGCCTCCTCACCAGTCTGAACTGAATGCAAATGAGAATTGTAAGAATTTCAAAAGAAAAAAACTAGGAAGAACAAAGCATTTGGGGGTGGAGAGCCCTTATCTGCAGGTGGACATCAAATGCTAAGGCACAACAGTCAGATCTAAACTGGGGGACAAAATTGATGCAAGATATGCAACTCCAGCTACATGAATTGCACAGCTGGAGTCAACGTACCTCGCATTGATTTTCAGGGCAGACCCACTAAATTCAATGCCGGAAGATCAACCTCTGGAGCCTCAATTTTCATGGAAGTGTAGATGTGCCCTGTATTTGGAATGCAAAGATACCAGGCACCTTTCACAGAGGAAGAAAAAGGACAATGCTGTTGCTTTACGGAAAAGGGGCAGGATGTGACTGAGGCTAGTATAAGTTGGTATGGGGGTATGCCAGGCATGGACAATAATTTTTTGCCGGGGCTACTTCAAAAAATTTTGAAGTGGCCCCAGGCCACACTGGAAGGGGCAGGGCCTCAAACAGAAGGGGCAGGGGCAGGGCCAGGATGCTTCCGGACTTACCCACGCACAGACCATGATTGGTCTAAGGAGTGAGGGAGCCCCTTTGCCCCCCCTTCACACTAGGCACCCATGGCCCTGGTAGAGTTGCCAGATGATTTAACCAAAAATATCGAACACGAACACACACACACACACACACACACACCACAACAAAAAAACACCGGGGAAAAAATTCTGTTGAGAAAAAACTCAAAGTTCTGGAGAAAAAAAAAAAGACCCGGAGAGTTCTTCAGCAAAAAAAAAAAAAAAAATTAAACAATTTTTAAAAACAGCATGGCCCCTTTAAGAAATGTTTTTGAGGCTTTTTGGCCATAACAGGCTGCCGGCGGCCATCTGCCATCTTGTCTTCCTGCTCCAGGCCAGACAGCTCCCCTGGGGAACCAGGTAAGCACCTGGGATTTTCACCTCCTCCCTGGGGAAAAAAAACAGAAAATACTGGACATTTTAGGTGTCTGGTATTTTCTGAATGTTTTTACCGGACAGGAGGCAAAAATACCAGATTATCCGGGTCAATACTGGACACCTGGCAGCCCTGGCCTATGCTCCCTTCCAGTGCTCCCCCGCCCCCGGGCCAATCAGGGCTTGGGAGCACACAAACCCTCCTCCTGCCCTGCCAGGAGCTCAGGGCACTTCTAAGAGCCGCATGCTCCTCACAGGCCGGGGCTGGGGCAGAGGAAGTTTCACACGCTCCTCCTGCCCCCACGCCAATCAGGGCTTGGGGATGGGGCAGTGTGCAAAGTCTCCTCCCACCCTGCCAGGAGCACACGGTGCTTCAAAGCACCGTGTGCTCCTGGCGGGGAGGAGGAAACGTCCTGCACTTCCCCTGGGCCCAGGCCCTAATTGGCCTGGGGTTGGGGGAGTGGCAGGGCCTTCGCGGGCCGGATCAACCTGCTTAGCGGGCCAGATCCAGCCCACAGAGGCCCTCTTGCCCACCCCTGGGGTATGCCATGCAGGCTGATAGTTTTGTGGGATGACTGGACATGGTTGGACATGTGTTGTTTTGCCTCATGTGGTTGGTAGTGGGAGCAAGCATGGGGTGGGGGTCAGGATTCAGGACTATGGCCATGTGGACTGGGGCTGCCATGGGTTGTAAAGGAGGAGATCTGGCCTTACCAAAACCTCTGGCTTGTTTCAGGTTTACTTGACATTAACTCTCATGTTGTAAATAAGCACCCTGACTTTCACAAAAATCAAGCTAATGACATTTCAAAACGAGGCCAAAACAAGCCAGTCCCCAAAAGATCCCTACTAAATCCTGCCAGTGTGCAATCTGGGACAGAAGTAGGCATGCCATGTACCTCTGAACTCCCCCCCATGTTCCCTGCTTGCCCTCCTTTGCCCCTGCTTGCTGGGAGACAATCAACAAAGAAAAAAGTGTAACAAGCAATAATAAGCTATAATAAGCTACAAGCCCAAAATTAGTCAAGACAGGGTGTGACCCAGGCAGGGTAGATTGATTTAAATCAAGGTGATTTAAACCAATTTAAATCACTTAAAAAATCATTGATTTAAATGATATCCCACTGATATTTCTTCACATATTTCTTAAACCAGCAGCTGCCAACCACCTGTCCATGCCCCCAGCTGCTAATGAGTCCTACCGGCTGGGAAGCTCCATGCCTGTGTGTGCACTAAAAATTCTTCTCCCACAGTGAGTGGCACTGTAGACTGCCCCATGTGCCACAGCTGGAGCCAGGCTGCAGTAAGGCTGTCCCTGCTGGGGCAGCCTCACCACAGCCACAGTTCTAGCTCCAGCAGCAGCTGCATGGCAGGCTGCTGTCCTATGCCTGTTCCGTTGCAGGCAGTGTGGTTGGGACTAAGGAGCGGAGCCTTCACAGCCACAAGTGTCCCAGCCTTTATTGGGATTACTGAAGAGGATCAGGGTAGAGGCCCCGGGGAGCCAAACTGGGTGTCTGCGATTTCTGGGTGTCTCCAGATTTCTCTGGAGGGCCCGGCTTCCCCCCCTCCCCCTTCTCTGGCTTCCCCTGAGGGATCTCCCCTGCCAGCTCTGGCCTGCATCATGTGTCTGGCTGCTTCCTAACATCGCAGGGTGCCACAGCCAGCAGCGCTGGTTGGAGTTGTGTGGGGGAGCAGGGCTCCTTGACTCAAACCACTGGGTGGCAGGGGGGCTAGTATCGCCCAGCTGTCAGGTAGGTGCCGTGAGCCCGAGATGCACATGGGCTGAGTAACCCTGTGCCTCAAGACCCCAAATGTTAACTGCCTGGGGAGGAACTCTCGAGCCACCAGAAACATACACCTGTCCCTGTCACCTGCGCCGCAGACACCACTGAGTCTATGTGTGTGTTGGGGTCTGGGCTGTCACTAGGCCTGGCAGGGCAGAGAGGGGAAGAGCAGTTTGCTGCACAATGGGAGGGCCATGTGGAGCATTGCATGGCAGTCTTTGAGCAGCCGCAAACCAGGCAGCAGTGCTTAGCTGGTGGCTGGGAGGCAGCGCAGGGCTAGATGAGGGGGATGGGGCAGGCACTGGGGGCTCCAGAAGTGGGATAGTGCTGGGGGGCTCTGGAGGTGGGGGGCTCAAAGAGGTAGGGGAGCGGGCTCTGGGGATGGGTTAATATTGGGGGCTGGGACTTGTGAGGAAGCTCGGGGGGTTGGAAGCAATGGGGCTCTAGAAACAGGAGACTGGCACTGGGGGTCTGGTGGTGGTGGAATTCTAAGGCTGGCACTGTGGGGCTCTGAGGGCAGGAGGCTGTCACGGGGGGAGGTGCAGGAATTCTGGGATCAGTGGCTGGCACTGTGGGTAGTAGAGGGGTGGGAGGTGCTGACACTGCGGCTTTTGGTGGACTGGTAACATTTTATTTGTAGATCTGCATATATATTATCTGCATGATGAAAATGCAAATAAGCAAATAAAATGATGCTGGTCCTCCAAAAGTTTGTGAATGGGTTTGCCATGCCCCCATATAAAAAAGGTTGGGAACCACTGTCTTAAACAACGGTGCAAATCTGAGCACTAAAACATGTTAATTTACAGCTCAGTATAGCATTTTACAACATCTATGAGGATATCCTTTGTGTGGTATTTTTAGATAACTTGATTTTTATCAGTTTAGGAAACAGTACATAATACTCATTATATGTGTCAAACTGCAGATGCAGCACTAGTACATTAGGAATGGCAAGAACTAAATCACATAGCACTTCTATTACATTAAACGAAATCTTAGCTTCATTTACACAAATACCCTCTTCCTTTTGTTGTCCTTATATATACCCCTGCCTCTGTAAATTCCACTCCAATTCATCTGATGAAGTGGGTATTATGCACGAAAGCTTATGCCCTAATACATCTGTTAGTCTCTACACTACAAAGAAAAGTTGGAAAAAGATACACAAATTGCAAACTATAATTTGCGTATCTTTTTCCGCTTTTCTTCCAAAAGAGGCTTTTCCAACATTTGGCCCATCTACACGGGATCAAATATTGGGAAAAAAAACCCTCTTTCAGAACATCTCTTCTCCCTTGTGAAATGAGGTTTACAGGGATGCCAACAAAATGTGTCCGCTTTTCCAACATTTTTTTTTCGGAAAAGTGAAAGCGTTCCTTGGACATGGCAGAGCTGTAGTCTAGACATACTTTAAGGTGCCACAAGACTCCTTGTTTTTGCAGATGCAGACTAACATGGCTACCCTTCTGGGACTAAATCTTAAATGTTACATAAATGTTTCACATTTGCAACTGCAGCAGTCTCTTTAGTTGCTGGCTGATGGCTGTCCTTACAGTCTTTTTTTTTTAACTCTGACAGACAAGTCCTCAGAATACTAAATGTACAATGTCTTTAAAATGTCTACAACTAGTTCTCATCATCCCCACTCCCACTGTCATTTTGATTCATAGATTGAAACAGAAATATGAGTTTTTTCTGATTTTTCAACTCCCAAACTTTCTTAGATTTGTGTGAATAATATCAAACAATTACAATATTCTCTCTGTGCCTGCAGAGAAAATTACTGCTGTGAAAAGTTGACTTAGCAACTGAAGGAACTCTGTTTCAAGGTGCTTGCCTAATGCTTTCCACCAATTCAGGGGAGTGACTTTGTTCAAAACATCATCAGTAACTATTTACTGATCATATAATTTCACTCCAGCCCTGAAATTTGTTATGGCTGACATAACTGAGGAGTGATTTTGAGATGCCCTTGCCATGGCAGCAGCAGCATCTTCAGAAGTTAGGCTTCTACCTTTATATCTGGGGTTAAGAATGTTTACAAGAAAATGAGGTGAAGTTAGTGTTTGATCCATTTGCTTCTTTACTGGTATTTCTTTCCTCTATGTCTCTTGAAGTATCTTCTAAATTTTGACAGCATCAGCAAGGCAGCAGCAATTTCTCAGAAGTTTGTTTAAGGCTATGGTTTCAGGATACATCTACATTGTTCCTTAGTCCAATGTTAGATACTTTGGATATGATACTTCTATTTAATCACAGTTTTTGTCATCAAATTTTAAGAAAATAGGCCAATACTTAATAAATTGTTCAAAACAATCAACAAAAATCAATAAAATCCAATTTAAATAAAAATATTATTTAAATAAAAATCTAATTTTTAATTTTTTTCAATTGTCAATTTTTATCCACCCTGGACCGAGGGGATGGAGATGTGTGGCCATATATTACTGCAAGTAACAGTGTATGAATTACCGTATTTTCCGGCGTATAGGGCGACTGGGCGTATAAGACGACCCCCTATCTTTTTAATTAAAAGATAGGGTTTCATCTTATACCCCAGCGCCCCTCCGCCTCCTTTGCTCCCGGTGTCCCTGGTCTGCTGGAGATGGTCCCCAG